AAGGCATGTACGGCGAGTTTTCCGGCAGCCTCATGGTCCAGATCGTCGTCCTCCAGTGCATCATCTGGTACACCCTCATGCTCTTCCTCTTCGAGTACAGGGGCGCCCGCACCCTCATCGCCGAGCAGTTCCCTGACACGGCCGGGTCCATCATCTCGTTCCGGGTCGACTCGGACATCATCTCGCTCGACGGGAAGGAGCCACTGCAGACGGAGGCCGAGGTCGGGGACGACGGCAAGCTCCACGTCACGGTCAGGAAGTCGGCCAGCTCCAGGTCGGAGATCTTCTCGCGGCGGTCGCACGGCGGTGGGCCGAACTCCGGGCTCTCGTTGACCCCCCGACCGTCGAACTTGACCAACGCCGAGATTTATTCGCTGCAGTCGTCGAGGAACCCTACGCCCAGGGGTTCGAGCTTTAACCACACGGATTTCTACTCGATGGTGAACGGGAGGAACGTGAGTCCCCGTCAGTCGAGTTATGGGAACGCCGCCGGGTACGACGAGGAGGGAGGTTACGCGGGCCAGGCGCGGGCCAACGGTATGTTCTCTCCCGGGCCTGGTGGCCCGAAAAAGAAGGGTGAAAATGGCAAGGATCTGCACATGTTTGTCTGGAGTTCGAGTGCGTCCCCTGTTTCTGAAGGGGGTATTCATGTCTTCAGAGGCGGGGATTATGGGAATGAGGCCAATGTTGGGGCTCATCCTAAAGGTTAGGTTTTTAATGCTTTTTTAAAGTTTATGTTACATTTTTCTATGTTTTTAGGTCCAACGAGAATGTAGGATTGTTGTTTCTTGATTAGTTGATGCTAAAGTTTGAGTCTTGGGCTTAAATAATGTTTTTGTATTGGTTTGTTATGAGCTTAGTTTATTTTGGTTGAATTAAGATGCGAAGTTCTTGATTCTTGATGTTTACATTTGAGTTTAGTTGTCTTGTTGTTGAGGAGAAATTGAGATTATTGAATGAGGTTTAGCAAATAGTTGATCTTCTTTAATGAAGCTTCACTTTCCTATTGATGTAACTGCATTTGTCGCTTTCCGAGGACCTCAGTTTCCTTTATTTAGGTTGTTTGTTCTTCAAGTGGGCTCTTTTTGTTTGTGTCCTTTTCATAAAGAGTTCCCCTTCAATTGTGTGATTTTTCTGTTCTTAGTTTGTTGTTAGCATTGCAAACCTCCCCTGAAATCTGGGCTTCCATTTGTCCTCTATTGTCACATGCTTCCATTTTTTTTTTCTTACATTACATAATCGTTTCATTACCTTATTTGATTAATGTCATTGATTGTGAAATTTCATCCAACTCATATGCAGATTACGACGATTTTGGACGCGATAAATATAGCTTTGGAAACAAGCAGGGCCCGAACGGGACTGAGCATGAAGGGCCCGTTTTGTCTAAACTCGGGTCGAGCTCGACTGCCGAGCTTCACCCGAAGGCTAGTGTCGAGACAAAGCCAACTGCAATGCCGCCAACTAGCGTGATGACGAGGCTTATCCTAATCATGGTGTGGCGAAAACTTATTCGAAATCCAAACACATACTCGAGTCTTATTGGCCTCACCTGGTCTTTAGTCTCCTTCAAGTAATAATTTTATCTTGACAAAATCTTGTTAATGTTCGTACCTATTTGGAAAAAAAAAAAAAAAATCTGATTTTCTTTTCTTCTTGCAGGTGGCATGTTGAGATGCCGGCCATAATAGCGAAGTCGATATCAATTTTGTCGGATGCGGGTCTTGGAATGGCTATGTTCAGTCTGGGTGAGTAAAAAATTGGCCTTTTTTAACTAAGAAAATTAATAGTAACTTTTTTTTTCTTTTCTTAACTACAGCAAATTGGAAATTGCAGGGTTGTTTATGGCATTGCAGCCAAGAATCATCGCTTGTGGTAAATCAGTGGCTGCTTTCTCTATGGCCATTCGGTTTTTAACGGGCCCTGCAGTTATGGCAGCCGCTTCTATTGCAGTTGGGCTTCGAGGCGTGCTTTTACGAGTTGCAATTGTGCAGGTAATTAATTATTCAAATGACTAATTACTATAGTAAATATGGATATTATGCTCATTCTTTTGTGGAGAAAATTTTAACATGCTCGATGATTTGATTTTTGCAGGCTGCTTTACCACAAGGGATTGTGCCTTTTGTCTTTGCTAAGGAATACAATGTTCATCCAGACATACTTAGCACCGGGTTAGTAATGATTACCGCTTAATTATCTCTTAAAATGGGGTGTGATCAGGAAGCTAAAGTCTAGTCTAATTACTATCAACTCACTGATTGCAAGTTGCAACTAGAGTTTTCTTGATTTATATGACAACCATCAAAACTCGAGTACCTTTTTTTGTAACTTTGTCGTTATTTATTCGGAAAATGTTATTTTGGTGTGTGCCCTTCTTCTAAATTTTACATGCATTTGTAAATTTTTCAGGGTTATATTTGGAATGCTGGTGGCTCTTCCCATAACTCTAGTCTACTACATCTTTTTGGGACTCTGAGGATGAACGACAAACAAAACAACAAGTCTCTAGCTGTGCAAAGTTCGAAATTCATTGCTATTCCGAATTCGAAAACAATGCTTTTGTTTTGGGCATTATATTATTTTGGGTTCTAACAGAGAATGAAGAGATAATCAGAAGCAGAAGAAAAAAATGTACTAAGATTGCATATCAGGCAACAAACAAAAATATCAAGAATTGAGAAAAAAAGATGAAATTGAAAATGGAAATATTTTGGATAGGTTTGTAGTATTTATTAGTGGTAGTTTGTAGTTGTAGATTTTGTTTTATTTTGTTTTTTCAAGTTTTTTTTTGGTTTCTTGTTTTGTGGACTCAGTGTGAGGTACCCTTTCTCTTATCAATTGCTTTTGTTCTTTGTTTGGTGAAAAAAAGGTGAAGCTTTGTTTCAAGTGTTGGAAAAAATTATCAATGTGAAATAATTTTATTATGCTCTTCAAATTGCATATTGCTTTGGTATAACATTCCTATGAATTATATATTCTTTTTATCTATAAAATGACAAAATAGAAACTCAAAACATGCCACATCATAAAATATATAAAATGACAAAATAGAAATTAAAATACGTATAACATTATATAAAATCGGCCGTCTCCCCCCAAGTGTTTTTTTTTTTTTTTTGGTACAATAGAGGAGGCCGGAGGCCTAGGGACTATGAAACAATGATTCGACGGGGGTGGGCCACTCCACGGAGGTCGTGATCCAACCAAGTAGAAAGCCCCTGAGGGGGTGTCGAGATCTTCTGGAAGCCTAGCGGAAACGAGGTCGCGAGGGATGCCATATGGTCAGCTGCGAAGTTAGCCTCTCTATGAACATGGTTGATCCGAATACTCCATCCTCGATTCATCAAGCACCGAATTGCCTTGACTAGTGACTCATGGACTCCAAAAGACGTTTGGGATCCAACTATTATTTTCAGTACACACTGGTTGTCAATCTCAGCTACAACCTGCCGGAAACCCAGGTCCCATGCTAGTTGCATCCTCTGGAACAATCCCCATAATTCTGCTCCTGTAATGGTGCCAATCCCAATGTTCATAACGAAACCTCCATGCAAAGTGCCAAGGTCATTTCGAATCAACCCGCCCGCACTACATAATCCGGTGGTGCGATTAAAGGCCCCGTCGGTGTTCACCTTGACCCATCCCGTATCCGGGGGGTGCCACTGGATCATATGTATCGTGTATAGCTCGGCTCCCACTTTCACATAGGCTGCAGCTGCTTTCTCGTATGATTCCGATTTGCTAATGATATCCCGATGGAGAGCCTCACAGCCTAATTTCCGATTATTAAATATAAACTCATTGCGCCATGCCCAAGAGCTCCATGCACCGAAGGCAAAAGTGCTGCTCCAGTTCCTAGGCATTCCAGCCTTCGGCCTTCCCAGATTGTGCCACAGCCATGCCCGGAGCTCCTGTTGAAAAAATTCTCGATGCGATCCAGCCGGGAGGAGCTTATGCCACGTATGCTTTGTGCACGGGCAATCGCGCAACACGTGTAGAGTCGTTTCAGGCTCCCCACACATCGCACACTCCGTAGAGCTAGCAAGGTGCCGTCGGACTCTTTCGCCGTTGGTCAGTAACCTGTCACGGGCTGCCACCCATAAAAATGTTCTACTTCGTTGCGGGAGAGGTGCAGTCCATATGGTCTTCCAAAGCGGTTTATCCGGATCGCTTACCGGTTCAGATAGTGATGTGTACGCCGTCCGCGTAGAGAATTGACCATCCGGCGATGGGCCCCACACCATTCGATCTTCTCCGGCTGAGGCTCGAGGCGGCATAACTCCAGCAATCCGCATGATGATGGCAGACGGGAGTATCCCGTAGAAGTCATCCCAACACCAATCGCCCTTTTCGTTTGTGTAGTCCACAACTTTCAGTCCAAGAGAGTTTTCGGGCGACCTCCTGTAAACGTGGTGTATGAGAGGTCCGATTGGTCCCACCCACGGGTCAAGCCAAAATCTCACTGTTTCCCCATTACCAACGTGCCACCTGATCTCTTTGCATAAGTTGGGCCAGATTTTAGTCAGTGCTTTCATGAGCGGGGAACCCTTACGACATCGTGGATTGTCCAGGCTATTCGAGGAATCAAGGCCATACTTGGCAGCCATCAAGCGCACCCATAAAGTATTGCTATTGTAGAGAAGACGCCACCCGAGCTTCATTAAGAGGGCGTAGTTCATTTTGCGTAGCTCCTTTATGCCCAAGCCGCCTTCTTCCTTGGGTTTGCACACATCTCGCCAAGCAACGAGATGTAGTTTTTTCTTTTCGGTGGAACCGCCCCAAACGAAGGCACGACTGCGACGATCTACTCCCTCTGTAATATTTCCAGATAGCAAAGACGTTTGCATAGAGAAGTAAGGCAAGGCACTGATCACTGATTGAGTAAGAGTGACACGCCCCGCTAAAGAGAGCGATTTCATTCGCCATTCTGCTAATCGCTCTTCAGCCTTATCGAGAATATGAGCAAATGTCGCCTTAGTCACGCGGCCGTGAATGACTGGCACTCCAAGATATTTACCCAGGTTATCGGTCCATTTGAATCGAAGGGCTCCTGCCAGTCGGATCTGCTCGACCTTCACGATGTTGCGAGAGAAGAAGACTTGCGTTTTCTCCGGGCTGACTTTCAGGCCTGACATGTCGCAAAATCGATTAAGGAATTGCTTGAGAATCTCTACCTGGTCGTCCGAAGCTTCGAGAAATAGGAGGAGGTCGTCGGCAAACATCAAGAAGGGAACAGTGACCGACCCTCGCCCAACTGAAATCGACTTCCATTTTTGTCGGTACACTTCTTGGTCAATGAGCTGAGCCAACCTTTCCATACATAGTACAAAAAGATACGGGGAAATGGGATCACCTTGGCGAACTCCTCTTGTGGGGATAAATTCCTCCCCCAATGCTCCATTCCAGAGAAGTCACATTGAAGCTGAGCGGACAGAGGCCATCACAGCCGTGATGAAGATGGGGGGAAATCTCGCGAGGTGTAGGGTTTCCTCGATGAAGTCTCAGCGAAGATAGTCGTACGCCTTTTCTAGGTCGACCTTGATGACCATGTGGCCTGTCACTCCTTGTTTCCGGCGCATTGAATGAATTAGTTCGTGTGCGACCATGATATTGTCTGTGATCTGACGGCCCGGGACAAAACTGGCTTGTGCTGGATGGATTAATTCGGGTAGTGACTCTTTCATCCGGTTAACCAAAACCTTGGTAAATAGCTCATAAACCACGTTCAGCAGGCTAATGGGTCTGAATTGCTTAATGGAGGAGGCATTGTCGACCTTGGGGATAAGGACAATTAATGTCTGGTTTATCTCAGCAGAGACAAATCCGGTAGCCCACATGGTGCGAATAATCTGCCGTACGGATGGACCCACAGTCTCCCAATTTTTCTTGAAGAATAATGCATTTAAGCCGTCGATTCCCGGGGCCTTAAGGGAGCCCATGGATTGGAGCGCCAAGAAAATTTTGCCATCAGAGATGTCTTCCATCATGTTCCGAACCTGCTCTTCACTACAGCCGGGGAATAAACTTCCCGTCGTCTCCACATTGGCTGGGGCCTGACCACCCGAATAAATATTTTTAAAAAATACCGTAGCTAGCAGCTCGAGGGCCCGTGGGTCCGTAATATGCTGGCCCACATCGTCAACTAACTCCGTGATTCTCCCGTTTCTACGGTTAAATTTGAGTTGGCGATGGAAATAGGATGTGTTTCGGTCGCCCAGATGCATCCAATCCCTCGTTGATTTTTGAAGGAGAAGCAATTCCTCCTGGAGGATAACTTCGTCCAGTTCCCCTCGTAACTGCTTTTCTAATGTCAACAACTTCTCCGAGAAATAATACTGCCGGCTTCTTGGATCCCCCCTAATGCGTGCGAGTAGCCTTTTCTTTAGAGCAAAGATGTTACCAAACACCGTAAGATTCCAATTCTTCGCTGTCGCTGCAAATTGTCTGGCCGCTTCAGTGAAACAAAGGGTGGGGTGCCAGGATTCTTGAAGCATAGAGGAGAAATCGGGATGAAGTAGCCACGAGGCTAGAAAACGAAATGGTTTCTTATCGGCTACTGTGGTAGGTGCCCGTCCAAAGGTCACCAGAAGAGGTGAATGATCGGACTGTATACGTGGAAGGAGGCGAACCCGGCCCAACTCATATTTCTCCATCCACGCGATATTAGCAACGAACCTTTCGAGTTTTTCCATAATTTTGCCCGACTGGCCCTCGCGTGTCCACGTGAACTTATGTCCATCCGTTGCTACTTCCTGAATTCCATGAGCGAAAATCCAGTCGGCAAAATCCTTGCTAATATTACAACTGCGTCGAGATCCCCCTACTTTTTCCGATGGATGGAGGAAGCAATTAAAATCTCCTCCGATGAGCCACGGGTCCGAGGTACTTAGCGCAAGCCTCTCGAGGTCCGGCCACAGGAAACGACGGAGGGTAGGGTTGGGACTAGCGTACACGAACGAGATGACTCATTGCTCACCATCTTTGCTTGCCTTCACATGCACTAGCTGCTTCGAGTAAAATAGGATCTCAACCGTCACCCTCTCCCTCCATAATAGCCATATACCACCAGAAAAACCCTGAGCTTCAACTCGAAATGAGTTCTCAAATTTACTATAGCGCACGAATTTGTCTGCAGAGGTTCCACTGATTCGAGGTTCAAAAATTGATACGATATCCGGAATATGTTGTCGAACTAGTGTGGAGAAGGCACCCCGGAATGCGGGCGAACCAGCTCCTTGAACATTCCAAGATATTACGTTCATGGGAAACGGGTCGAAAAGGGATAGGGAGCCGCAGTTAATCAAAGATAGGGTCTGGCGACCCGTTTTCATTCTCACTGTCCATCGGCTGGGTCATACCTCTCAGCCCTGTATCTGCTCCGTCTTGGTGTCGGTGGTCCTCCGGCCATGGGTCTTGGAGATGGACCGCATGCGCTCCCTCCAGCATGATTTCATCACCTGTAGCTTCCACGTCAAC